TTTTACCAATTAAGGAATTCTCACTCCATATGGGAAGTTCCTTCCTAATTCCTGTCTGTTAGTGGTTAGCTTGCATCCGAAGAAGTGGGCTGTAGTCCACGAAAGCTTATGCTCTAATAAATTTGTTAGTCTCTAAGGTGCCACAAGTACTCCTGTTCTTCTTTTTGCGGATACAGACTAACACGGCTGTTACTCTGAAACTAGCCTAAAATATGAGGGTTTAAATCCTCAGATGAAATAAAAAATGATCATGTCTAATATAACTATGGATGTTCTCAGCTACAGTATTGTTCTGGACTTTAAGTTCCTACATAAAAAACAGGTGCTTAATGGGATAACTCCATAATGTTAAGGACAACTGCAAAGTACTCCATTTAGGTAGGAACAATCAGTTGCACACACACAAAATGGGAAATGACTGCCTAGGAAGGAGTACTGTAGAAAGGGATCTGGGGGTCAATAGTGGATCACAAGCTAAATATAAGTCAACAGTGTAACACTGTTGCAAAATAGCAAAGATCATTCTGGGATGTGTTAACCAGAGTGTTGCAAGAAAGACATGAGAAGTAATTCTTCCACTCTACTCTGCGCTGATTAGGTCTCAACTGGAGTATTGTGTACAGTTCTGGGTGCCACAAATTGGAGAAAGTCCAGAGAAGAGCAACAAACATGATTCAAGGTCTAGAAAACATGACCTATGAGGGAAGATTGAAAAAAATTGGGTTTGTTTAGTCTCAAGAAGAGAACTCTGGGGGGACATGATAACAGTTTTCAAGTACATAAAAGGTTGTTACAAGGAGGAAGGGAAAAAATTGTTCACCTTAGCCTCTGAGGATAGGACAAGAAGCAATGGGCTTAAATTGCAGCAAAGGCAGTTTAGGTTGGGACATTAGGAAAAATTTCCTAACTGTCAGGGTTGTTATACACTGGAATAAATTGCCTAGGGAGGTTGTGGAATCCCCATCATTGGAGATTTTTAACAGCAGGTTAGATAAATACCTGTCAGGGATGGTTTAGATAATACTTACCTACCATGAGTGCAGGGGACTGGAGTAGAGGACCTCTCAAGATCTCTACGATTTTATGATAAACAGAGGAAGGATGGTCAAATTGTTAGGGTATTAGCCTGGCACTCGGGAGATTGGGGTTCAGATTTCTGCTCTGCCACAGACTTCTTGCATGACCTTGTGAAAGTGTCAGTGTCCATCTGTGAAACACGGATAACACTACTTCCCTACCTCACAAGAGGGAGTTGTGAAATTGTCCTCTTGATCATGACTCATTAAAGATTCTGAGGTGCTCAGAAACTGTGGTAATGAGAGCCATATAAGTACCAAAGATAAAAGCCAGGAAAGCTACCTACCTATTTCGGCAGTGTACCTGGCAGGAAACTGGAGGGGACAAACTCTATACTATGCACCAGGCATCTGGTTCCTCCATAGCCCTTTTGGATGAATTCCTTCATTAATTCTATCCCTCATATGAGGCATCATCATGTCACTAGGCCTCCTCTGCTTGTATGGTGGATTCGTCCAGCACATTTGAATGCATTTCAATATACCTATGAGACTTTTCTCAAACACTGTATGAATGAGTTTCACATTTGCTCAAATGTATATTGTTAAATAGATGGAATACCAATACAGTGGTTGCCATGAAAAACTCAGGGCCAGATCCTCAGCTGGTGTAAATTACTGTAGCTCTTCTGACTTCAGCATTTACAGTTACTACAGAATGGTGTGTAAAGCACTACTGTATTTCATTATTCCTAGGACAGAAAAGATCTGCAGCATTTCAGATACTATTTGGGTAGAATATCAGGGTTGGAAGGGACCTCAGGAAGTCATCTAGTCCAACCCCCTGCTCAAAGCAGGACCAATCCCCAGACAGATTTTTGCCCCAGATCCCTAAATGGCCCCCTCAAAGATTGAACTCACAACCCTGGGTTTAGCAGGCCAGCGTTCAAACCACTGAGCTATCCCTCATGTCTTTGTACATAGCAACAATCAATTGTGCATTACTCTTCAGGAGAAAAATCCCAATTCCTCTTTCAGACCCACATTAAAAGCAAAGTTAGTTGTGACAAAGCAATTCCAAGTAAAGGCGACCCACAGGTCCTTTAAATCAGAAATCAAAACCACAACAGTGTTCTTTTTAATTGTGAAGACTCTGATCTCTATCTGCACCACTTTTTGTTTGTTCCGTTTTGAACATAATACATTGTGACCAACATGTCGAATACTAGTAGTAGTTAAATGGTGGTAAGTGCTAACATTCCATATTGTCGGTTGACTTTGTTGTTACTTCTGTACCATAATATCTGCTTTGGGAGGGTTAGCTTCTGACGCTATTTCAAGATTTGCCTCATGAAGAATTAATGACTCTTCTTCTAACACGTTCTTGTGTAGCAGTGGGAAAAACTTGTATTGCTAGTTGCTATCTCATCTTTCGGCTTCAAGCAGCTCTGGGAAACATACTGCAAAAGCTCATCGCTGGGGATAGGGGAGCAAAAGGGCTAAAGGACAGTTTGGCTGCTTCAGATTAAGTAGGAAGCATTATGGAGAAAATGTTCTGACTTATGTCACATACTAAAAATGCAATGACATTTGCCCTGCGTATTTACTGTGCAAGGCATATGCCAGGAGAAATTACATGGTTTGTAGTGCACTCTCTGACCAATCCCCCCAGGGCAGGCTCTGGCTTTTTTGCCGCCCTAGGCTTGGTGGACTGGTGCCTGGAGCCGGCCCTGAATCCCCCCCACAGCTTCAAACACCAAGCTTTCAGAAAATGCAGAAAACAAGATTCTTCTTTTGGATCAGCTTCCTCTGAACTGCTCAGATTCTAAGCACAAATGTATGTGCCGAGAGTATTGCAAACACCATTATAGACACTGCTTAAATAGAGTTTTTTCCTTTACTTCTAATGAATGCACACCTATTTTTGAGAGACAAGTTGCTTCCACTTCCATAAGTATATCATATTTAACCTTAGAACTCTAGCATTTTCTAGCTTTGCTGTACCAGTAAATGAATACTTAAGAGAACAAACTGTACAGTACATAGAATATGTCCAAATTGACAATCACACATGCTCAAGCTATGCCTATAATAGGTAACAGGTAATTGTGCATGCATAATAGGTAGATGTGTATGAAAATCGGTAACAATGCAGAAGTCCCCATTTGTGCATGTAAAGTGCCTGTCTGCCCATACATATAGGTATTTTGTAGGTACAAATTAGGAGTCTACATTTCAAATTGGCCTTATGCCTACAGTTTCCAAAAGATTAAAATAAAATGTCTGTTCTTTGTTTGACCTTTCTGATAGTAATTGCTTACTTGGTAATTAAAGTATCCCACTTACAAATATCTGATTGGCAGAACCCTAAGGTGGCATTATTCAGCTTTTTGGATCTAGAGTTCCAAAAGGGATGGGGAAAAATGTACAGGATATCAAATATGCAAAAGCATCATCAAGGGTTTTAACAACAACTCAGTATATTTCTGACTTGTGAATTACTCTTCGTTTTATGGTTGCAATAGCTAATAAATTATTCAATCTGCAGCTTTTTTTTTCTATTTTGCATTACATATGTCGTATAAATCACACCTGATTCACTGTAACACAATGGCGCAAGAGAGGAGCAAAATATTTGCAGAGAAAGGCAAAACAGCAGTCATAATCAGACTTATTTTTACTTTATTATGAACCAAAAAAGGGGCCTCTCATTGAAAAAAATGACTATATTTTGTGAATTTCCACTTAAAAAATTGTCTCATTTTCCAGCAAAATGAGGTCATTTCATTGAAAGATTACTTTAAAATTTGGAAATAGAGCTGTGAAATATGAACTGTCATTGTTTCAATGTAGAAAATAGAGATGTCATTATATTCTGCAGAGAAACGAGATCGTCCAAACCTTCAAAACATTTTGTGGGAGTTTTACCAATTTTGAACATCTCTAAATTGGAGCTGCACCATTTGAGATTCCTTAATCTAGCCTTCTAAAAAGCTTTCCTTTAAAATCACATCTTTATCAGTCAGGGCGATGGGTCCCTGAACTGATTTAGCAGCAGCTGTCCAGGTTTTAGTTCACATGTGAATGCTTGTGGTGTCCATCAAACAGCAGGCAGTCTGTTCTTATGCTCCCTAAATAACTTCTGGGCAATTTAACACATTTCTCAGTCTGAAACCAAATGGTAAAAATGTTTAAAAGGGTGCCAAAAATTACACTTACCCTCAACAACTATGCCACAGTGATGTTATCTGTCTTTGTAAAACCCAGAAGAACCAAGAAATTGAGACACTACTGAAAAAACTCTCCACCTTACCACACCTTTTATGCAAACACCCAAATGAGAGATCCAGTGTCCTGGGGCAGGAAATGATCCAAAATGAAGGACAAAGTATTAGTAGCTCAAAGCAAAAATACAAGAAATGTACTGTCTTTGCCATCTATTTATAAACACTTTCAGGGTTTATGATTTCCTGTGTGTCAATAATTTACAATTATAAAAGTGAAATATCACTCCATGATTTTGTTGGGGGTGAGGTATATTTGGGTCTATAACAAGGGACAGTTTAGAGGTATGGTTCTCTCCTGTTTGAAATATATCCTGCGATGAGGTATGGGTTTCAAAGATATTGAATCCCCATCAGGAGGCTTTGAGACAATTTTTTTTTTAGACTGTCTCAGCTGAGGAAAGGACCTCTTATTAGCAGATGAAGTATCTAAAAATAAAGGAGATGTACACAGCTGGGGAATATTTACAGAAACATATTGGCTTTTTTAGCAGGCACTTTACTTTCATATAGTAAGAGCCTAAATTTCAGAGAATCTGAATGTCTGCATCTGCCACTGACCTCTGAAAACTCAGGCCTCTTTCATCTGTATTTAGCCTGGTTAACAAGCTCATCATATGCTACAAATTACTAGGACTGAACCACTGCATTGGACACTGGATGGTCTGTAATAAGCAGCAATGGCAGAAAATTGTCTTACCTTAGAGTGGGATGTGTAGACGCCTTCAAACGCATCTAGAGTCTCATAGCCCATTGAGTCCGTTCTCTGTTCAACTGTAGATTCTGCTTCTTTTTGCTTTTTGCATTGCTGGCTGGTGCAAACTGTAAATTTACAGAAGTGGGTGTGTTATGCCAAGATGCTTATCCATATCTCATTCTGCAAGGCATTCAATTTAAATGCACATGGCACTGTGCCATGTGGCTCCTATTCCTCTGAAGTGCTTTCAGTCCCATGACCTACACGCAGCAATGTTTCTGTAGGTCATTGGTTTTTTTGGAAGATAAATAGGCAGATGGAAGAGTACAAAGGTGATTCTAAGGGATTTTCTTTAACGTATTTACAGAACCTCACATTCAATCAGCGAATGTCATATTTAAGAACATGGTCTTGTCTTACTTGAATTCATACATAAGAAACTTTTAATTGTTGAGTTCTCTGTGAACATCTGTGTTAAAGGTTTATCCTGAGAGAAAGGAGTGAATTATTTTTAATTCAGAATATTTAATTTAAATGTGGTAATCCAATTTTTTTTAAACTTGAAGTTGGTAGGATAGAAGCAGATTCTAGGATCTTTCAGAGAGAAAAATATTCTGCTGATTCATCCCAGGAATTAGACCAGATGAGACTCATCTCAAACTCAGGGAGAATAAACAGGTTGAGAGTCTCTCTAAGGCAGAGGGAATGCTCATGGGGCAGTGCAGTGGGTCTTACAGGGAGAAACCCTAGGAATAGGCAAGCTCAGAAGGAAGTTCAGGTTGAGATGTGTTTGTTATTTAAGATAGCAATAAAGGAAAACCACAGGAGAGGGTATGTTTGGATAATATTCAATGTGTGTGCCATGTCAAAAGCAGGGTGGGAACAAGAGGGTGGTAGAAATGAAAGAAATCCATATCAGAGCTTGTTCTATGCAACAGTTAAGGGAACCACAGTGAGGTTCCTCCACTAAGTGAAGAAATCCACTGGTAGCTGGGGATAACAAAAGAAACCTACTATTCTACACCACTGCCACTACTTTACATAGTGGAGGTTAACATTTCAAAATGAACATTACTACAGGACACTAGATGAATGTGTCAGTGGGAATAGATGTGGCGTAGCCTGCAGTGGAGAACAAAGAGAGGAATGGATGAGGAGCGAGGATGCTGAAGAATTTGTGAAAAGCCATCTGGAATTGTGTGTTTTCTTGATGGCTCAGTAAGATTAATTACTCTGATGAGGCACAGACTCAGTTCAAATACTGAGATGAATCTACAGGGAAATAACATAGGAGATCCCTTGAATCTGCCCTTATAAACAAAATATGACCGCATTATGTTGTATCCCCCAAACATGGGTGTTCCTACCATGTTTGACCACTGCTGCAGAATACTGTATTATTTTAAGGGAGTTTTCCCCACATAACAATGTGAGCATGAGTATTAAGACTTTCTATAGCTCATTTGATATAAAGTCCAGAAGTGTCATGGGGATAACTAACAAAATATCTTCAGTCTCGTGCAGCGGCTGCTTACCAGAACATACATTGAACTAACTGCCCCAACGAAGGCTAAAGTAAGAAAATATTTGAATGAAATAACATAAACAGGTGTAAATCTGGAGTTGCTTCCCCACTGGTTTCAGTGTCAGGTGTGACAGAGATTGGAATCAGGCCATAGAGCAGGGGTAGGCAACCTATGGCACACGTGCCGAAGGCGGCAAGCGAGCTGATTTTCAGTGGCACTCACACTGCCCAGGTCCTGGCCACCAGTCCAGGGGGCTCTGCATTTTAATTTAATTTTAAATGAAGCTTCTTAAACAGTTTAAAAACCTTATTTATTTTCCATACAACAATAGTTTAGTTCTATATTATAGACTTATAGAAAGAGACCTTCTAAAAACGTTAACATGTATTCCTGGCACGCGAAACCTTAACTGAGAGTGAATAAATGAAGACTCGGCACAGCACTTCGGAAAGGTTGCCGACCCCTGCCATAGAGCCTTACTAGCTTTAAAAACGGATCCCAAATGCTCACAACTCCACTGATACGTACATTAGTACTACCTCTTAGAATCTCACCTGGGAAAGTCAGGGAGATTTTTTTTTATTTTATCTTTTTGTAATGACAGGTTTTACTATGTACATTCTATAGCTCGTTAATCTTGACCTACACACTTGAGGAAGACAGTATAGACCTTTGTTTTAACAGTTTAATCCAGCACGCACTGATCACACTTTTGATGTCTTTGAATCTGAATTTTATAGGCTGAGCAAAATCCTTCCCTATATTCTTGGTGACTTTCCAAAATGTTAAAGCAAAGGCCACTAAAAACCATGGGCCACATCCACAGTAGGTGTCAAATGATACAGCTCTTCCGATTTGGGTGGCCCCACCCCAATTTACAGCAGCTGAAGATCTGGCCCAAAGCATTTAAGAAGGCATAGCTATATAATTAATTATTTTGATTATGGAGGGCCCACAAACTAACTGGATATTTTAAAATCATAGTAAATTTAAACATCTGTATGTGTGTATACATACAGTCCAGTGAAGCCTGTACAACAGACCACCCTTATTATGCAACCTTCCATGTTTAAACCATCACAGTGTATTGTAATACTCCATAACAGAAATCAAAGGCTCTGTTGGGACACTAAGTAACAATTCCAGCACATACGCAGGCAGGGCTTAACTTCCTCTTAGGCATCCCCCACTCCCAAAACCAAGCCAATAACAACATATTAAAACAAGACAACTTAACACTAAGATAAAGATACAGCTCCACATATTAGTGGAGGTGCTGTATGCACTGATCATTACACTATCACCCAAGGTATTGAATGTAGCTCTGTTGCATGGCTGCTAGAGGACCATATCCATTTGCAACTGAATGTCGGTGGTCTAGAATTACGAGGCATCTAGTTTTCAACCAGAACACCTGGTCAAAAAGGGACTCTGGTGGCTCTGGTCAGCACTGCTGACCGGCCCATTAAAAGTCCGGTTGGCGGTGCAGCAGGGCTAAGGCAGGCTCCCTGCCTGCCCTGGCTCTGCGCAGCTCCCCAGAAATGGCCGGCATGTCCCTGCAGCCCCTAGGCGCAGGGGCGATCAGGAAAGCTCTGCGTGCTGCCCCTGCCCCCAGTGCTGGCTCCATAGCTCCCATTGGCTGGGAACCACGTCCAATGGGAGCTGCAGGGGTAGCACATGTGGGTGCAGGCAGTGTGCACCGCACAGAGCAGCCTGACTGCGCATCTACCTAGGGGCCGGACATGGCGGCCGCTTCGAGGACCAGTGCAGAGCAAGGGCAGGCAGGGAGCCTGTCTTAACCCTGCTGCGCCACCAACCGAGAGCTGCCCGAGGTAAGCACCGCCCGGCCAGAGCCCACACCCCAAACCTCCTGCCCCAGGTCAGAACCCCCTTCCTCACCCTCACTCCTTCCCAGACCCCACACTGCCACCTGCACTACAACACCTGCCCCAGGTCAGAACCCCCTCCCACATGCTTACTCCCTCCCAGACCCCGCACCCAAACCCCAGGTCGGAACCCCCTTCCTCACCCTAACTCCTTCTCAGGCCCCACACTGCCACCTGCACCCCAACACCTATCCCAGGTCGGAACCCCCTCCCTCACCCTGACTCCCTCCCAGACCCCGCACCCCAACCCTCTACCCCAGGTCGGAACAGCCTCCTGCACCCAAACTCCCTCCCAGAGCCCGCACCCCCTCCTGCACCCCAACCCCTTATCCCAGCCCTGAGCCCCCTCCCGCACCCCAATCCCCCACCCCATCCCCCTACTGCACTCCAAAGCCCTCTGTCCCAGCCCAAAGCTCCGTCCTGCACCCAAAACCCCTCATCCCTGGCCCCACCCCAGAGCCTGCACCCCCAGCCAGAGCCTGCACCCCCTCCCATACCCCATACTCCCTGCCCCAGCCCAGAGCCCTAGCCCACATCCTGAACCCCTCATTCCTGGCCCCACCGCAGAGCCCACACCCACCACCGGAGCCTTCCCCCCCTCGTGCCCCCCAATCCCCTGCCCAGCCAAGGGAAAGTGAGTGAGGGTGGGGGAGAGCGAGTGACAGAAGGAAAGGGGCTGGAGTGAGTGGGAGTGGGGCCTTAGAGAAGGGATGGGGCCTCGGGCAGGGGCAGGGCAAGGGTGTTCAGTTTTGTGCAATTAGAAAGTTGGCAACCCTACCGTGGTCCCTTGAGTGATCATGTAAGGCTTATTTAACTATATATTCCCCCATTTCTTCCTTTGCCAGCATAGTAAGAGGGTACATGGATAAATCATTATGATATCACTGTATCTACTTTGTTCAAGTAGATTCCTTATGAAAGGCGCTTTTGTGATGCCTTATGAAAGAGCACTTCCTGGTATGCTCCAGTAATGCCTCAATAGATAGAGAGTACTAAAGGTGGAACACACAGGGGTTTGTTTTTTTTAATACGGCTGCTATTTTGAACACTGCAAATTGACAGCAGCAGTGCTCTATACCCTGGGATTCAGTGGCAGCAGCAGCCAGCCTGTTTTGATATGGAGAGGAACTGGATGCTCTGATGAGCACATGACTCCATTCAAGTCACAAGACAGGAGCTGCACAGCTAAACTTATTATTACACCATATCAGAGCTGTCAGTTTTGAGTCCTAGCACAGCATTGTGCAAAAGGGCAAGCGTTCTGGGTGCTTTCAGAACAGCACATACCCACCTCAGCATAGGGCTCCCTGTTATAACACTCCTCTTTCTTTGATTCACACTAATGTCACTAAGCTATAGACTATGGCTACATTAAACCCTGTCATAATTGCCCTTTGTACAAGAATACCCCTCTATGACACAACATTGTTGACTCTCACTAATGGCATTACAATGAGGGTGGTACAACCAGCTTCTTTCAAACAATGTGCTGGTTGGCTTTCTCCTTCCCCTTGCTCTGCATTTTCATAGCCACAACCCACTGCCTGGATATTCCATTCTTTCCCCTGCTTGACTTCAACAGAACTATGCCATTCCCTTCTAGTCTCTACCTTCCTCCTTGCTTGCTATGCACTGAAAGCCCATGAGGCTTAGGCTCCTAAGTGCCTAAATCACCTTTGAAAATGGGACTCAGGTGGCTTGTGAAAATCCTAC